AAAAAAAGAGTAAATTCATCTTATTATTAGAACATTTTTGTATTTTTATGATCATTTGACTTTTTCCTTTTTCTTTCTTTTTTCTTATCTATTCTAGAAATAAAACAAAAGTTAGATAAGTATATAAAACCACAACAATACTTTCTATTCTGAACATTATCATCTACAATGCCACATCAAAGATCAAACAAACCAGATATACTCATGTATGTGTGTCTTGAAAAAAAATATATTTATTGATGTCAATGAATACTACTATTTCGTTCGTCGGAATAAAAAATAAAAATGACAATTTATTTATAGTAGAAATCCTAAATCCTATTCTTTTTTCTATTTCCTTTCTGTCATTTTCTTGAGCTAAAAAATAGACAAACTAACAGTTAGCCTGTCAAGAATATTAACAGTATAGGATCATATTAAACAGACAGGATAGCTATTTATTCTCGTTGAGTTGGTTTCTTTTTTTCCTTTTTTTCTTCTCTTATTATTGTTATTGTTTTTTTTTTGTTCTTCTATTCTTTTCCATTATTTGCACACAAATTAAACTTAGATTCTTTCGTTTTCTTATAAATGTTTCAATACATATGACTAATACAACTACTTAGCCAGTGTATTTCTTACTATTATTTTATCGGCATATATAGCAGAAGCAGAATTTTCTTTTTTTTTTGTTTCTGTTTCTTTACACACGTTCGATTGAATTACAATATAATACTACTAAACATATTTATTAACTGACTATTCATCATCCAATACATAAAAAACATTAATGCAGGTTACAAGCAGGTAGATTCGTCTTCTTATTTTGTTTTTTTTTACATCCGATTAATAATAATTCAATGAAATTTTTCTTATAATAAATGTTTTTTTTAAAGAAATATTTTTTTAAGGAAAAGTAGTTGTGGTGATTTACAAAGTCGTCTTAAAGTACGAAAAGTATTGGGTGTTGGAGATACAGCTGGTTCAAAAATTAGTCAAATACTTGGACATTCAGATCATTTAATTTTTCAATTACCACCTAAACTTACAAGTTGGCTACTTTTAACAACAACATTATATAGTTGTTTTACTGTGATGGTAATTTCTAATGAAAATATAATAATTAATAATAATGTTTAATTCTTTTTTCTTTTTTTTTTGTCGCATATAGGGATTACTTTGCCCGTCATATTTACGATTTATATTACTTGGTAATTTTGAATCAACATTACATCTTGCTACATCTTATGCTTGTATGTATTATATTTTTGTTTATTTTTAATAGTTTGTTTATAGAATAATATTTTAGTTTTAGCAACAATACTTGGTTTAACACTTCGATCAGGAGATAAAACTTCTTTACAACTTGTTCTTTTTTCTCTTACTTTATTTCATTTATTATCTTTTTTTAGTAAGTTTTTGTATAAATATGAAAAAAAAAAAAAAAGAAACAAAATCTTATTTTATATAGTTTCTCTATGGTTTCTTAAAACAAGTGATACGAAAATTAAATCAATGATATCACTTATTTTTCATTTATTATGTCTATTGATAAATGCACATTTTTATTTATCAATTATTCGATCTGTATCATTATTTCGATCATATTATAAATCAAAAACATTTCTTGAATCAATATTATCATTTCCATCAACAGCTGATATGACTGAACATGATTCTTCTTAAGCAAACAAAAAACTGTATATATATTATTCATGGATTCATTATGGTTTTTACAATTAAAAGAAACAATTTATTAATGTCATTTCTTCTTCTTCTTCTCTTTAAACGATTAAATACAATTGAAATTGAAATAAGAAAGGTTTTTTTTATTCGTATGATATAGTATGAAATATTTTCATTTTAATTTCTACTAAAGTAGTTATGATGTTCGATGCTAACATTTTTTTCTTTCTCTTCTCTCTCCCGTTCTATTTCTGTAATAGAAAACAATTGTGTCAGCTATATTCTATTATAAAATGATGGCATAAAGCTAGGCAGAATAATGTTTTTATCCAACAGAATTCATATACATAAAAATAAAAATACATTTAGTACTAAAAATAGATAATAATAAGGAAGTATCACTTCGTTGTGTTTTTATTTGTTTGAATAACTGAAGTTTTTTGTTTTGAGGAATAACAGGTAAATTAAAGAGAAAAAAAAAGTCATATTTGAAATAATTGAAGAAAGTTCATGAAAATCTGAATAAAGAAAAAAGAATAATCCAAAATCCATTACTGTATGATAGAAAAGAATTTATGATTACTTGCAAATCTTTTCAAAATAGTAGATTATCTTTTATGAAATGCAAAAATTCATTTATTTCATTTTGATTATTTATAAAAAAGAATGTTCTTATAACTATAAATTAAAATTATTTTTTTTGATAATATCATTTTATTTATGATTTAAACTAATTTGATGAGAATTTCTAAATAAATTAGCAGATAATTAATATCGTACATATTCAATTTTTTTTTTCTTTTTATAGAAATTCATTTTCCGTCATATTCTATTAACTTCTAACATTAAACAAAACCTAATAGATGGTCGTTTTTTATTGTCAAAGTTATTCTCAACTGTCGTAGATATCAATCAAAGATGCAATTAACTAAAATTCGATTTATGATATAAATATAGAAAAAAAAAAAAGAAATGACATACTTTTGTGATTCTTAGTTAAATGAAAAAAAAAACCAAAAATTTGCTTTTTATCTTTTAATCCTTTTATTCACATATGAAATATTATGTTTTATTCAATATCTTTCTTTTTCTATTATCACTTCTGTTGATATTATATTTAGGAAATACAAAAAGACTTGACAAGATTAATCATATGTTGAATTAATTCATACAGACAACTTGGCTGACAGTTTCTTTCAACATATAAATAATAAAACTTCAGTAATATTTCTTCTTGATCTATATCGTACAATCAATATTTGTATTGATTAAAATCTCTTATGATTCTAATGTAAAACACTGATTGCATTCAATCTTTCATAGATTCAATTATGGAGAGAACAAACAAAAAAAATTGTTGTTGCGTTTTTTTTTTGTTTTCTTCAAATAAGAACTCTTCAATACCAAATTATTTACTGATATACTATTGAGATTTACTGTAGATAAAATCAAATTGAACTGTTGCTATTTACTCTATAAGCAAATTAAACAATAAATAAAATTTTTATTCTTAATGTAAAGATTATTTTATAGTCACATATATCAGATAAAAATAAAATTTAAATATACGACTATTATTCCATAGATAGACACTTGCATAACATTCGTTTTCGTGACATTGCTTTTTTTTTACGGCTCTTTGTTAGAACTATGAAACAACCAAAAAGTAATTAGAAAATTAATGAAATTAGATATACACCACATTCTCACCTTCATTTACATAACCATATCTGCCTTTACTGTATTGTCTGGCATTTCAATATATGAGAGCAACTGTCTCTGGAGTATTTACCTAGCATGCAATAGTTGTGCTACGAAAAAAAAAAATCTGGATTTTCAACTATGAGTAGAAACATTGACAAAAATGACGTTATTTAATGATGTTTTAGATATGTTAAACATGTATGTCGAATACAAAAATAATCAAAAAACAAACTTATCGAGATTTATTTCGTTAATAGACATAGCAGAGCAGCATAACCTTTGACATAGAAAGATTTGAACATGCATGAAAAAGATAAAAAAATTGAAGCTTTTTTTGTTTTACTGCTTATATAGTTGTCAGTGTACAGCAGATTACTTGATTCATTAGAAAACAAGATGGAAACTATGAATAAATGATAGATATTAAATTATGATGATCTTGTTCAATGTAATGAAGACTGATGAATAATAAATCTATGATGTTTTTTATTATAGAAATATTCATGATAGTTTGTTCTAATAGATGAATATTTATAATTTAACGATTGCATGAAGATAAAGTATAACTTCATAATAGTGAAAAATTTTTTCTTAATTTCTATTCATATTTTTTTCTCGAATTTTTTTTCATACATTATGATATTCACAGATAGAACCTGTCGGGTTGGTTCAAATACAAAAATTTTGGATTCAACGACCTCTAATGGTCTGAAAAACACTTAGAATATTCTAGTCACTGATAGAAGTGTAAACTGATGTAGTGATCGGTGGCGACAACCATAGATGGAATTAGTCTGGTTCTTTCACGAACGATATCAGTACTGATTCTATCTCTAGCAGTGATTGACATTTTTCGATGAATTTTTTAAAAATTTTGAAAATGAAAAAGATAGAAAATGTTAGTACAGAACTTAACGATAGAAAAAAAACCAGACAATAAGACCTGCAAAAACTAATTTGGAATATCGGAAATTTTTTTAAATTAAATATCTATTTTTGTGTCGCAGTGGCTCAGTCGATTGGTTTGCACCTATACAAAAACCTGGAAAAAAGTTTCGTGTACTTCGAGACGGCTATCCAATATCGGTTAGAAAATTTCATTGAGAGTATTAAAGTACAGTTGGAAAATGTTAAACCTGTCGATAGACTTTATTCGCAGGTCATTGAAAAACTTTAAATTTTATATAAAATACCTATGTATTAGTTAACCTTAAAAGTGATCAAAATAGGTGATTATTTATTTTTTGTTTAATATTCGCTTGTTTATTATTATTATTTTTCTAGCAGAGAATAAAATTAGCAAATATAAGTATACAATTCACAGAACTGAAATATTCGCAAAAGAAAAACGCCATTAAAAGATTTGATTTATTTTGTTTACTACTCAAGTTAATTTTTTTTTTTAGGGCGAAAAAAACGAAAACAATATCACTGGTGAAGATTTTTTTTTTTTTATAAAAATTCTCTTTGTATAAATGAATACGAAAAAAAAGAACTTTGAAATTTCCACTACCATCAAGAGTAGAAATCTATTAGCAAAAAAAAATCATCTGAATCAATAGAAAAAAAAAAAAAAGAAAAAAAAAAAATAGAACCAACAATAACAAAGAGCACAAAAAAAATGAACCTCATCACACAGCTGAGGAATTTGTCTTTCCAGTAAATATTGATAGTGAACCATCTTTAAAACCAACACCAAGTAATTGTCGATATTGATGAAATGATAAACATGATACTTGAGCAAATTTCGAATTTTTTATATCAAAAAGTAAATCACCGAAACATGTTTTAAATTGTAAAGCATTAGATGTTGCTAATGCTACGACATTACCTGTTGAATGAATATCAGCTGCTGATATATGTTGTGATGTTTGTGGTACAGGTAATTCAGCACTGATACCTGTTCGAAGATTCCATCGTCTTAATTGTCCCATATTACTAATTGATAATAAACCATCATGTGTATCAGCTTTTAATGTAACTATAGGTGAATGACGATTTAATTGTGTTGGTGATGGCATAATAGCTATTGCATTATCTCTTGAACGTGTATCAAAACAACGTACTGTACCATCACCCATACCAGCTGCACAATAACCATTAGAATCTGATATAAGACAATAAATACCACCCGATGGTCCTGTATCCATTGTATATAAACAACGTTCACGTTCAACATCCCATAGAGATATATAATCAATATTAGAACTTGATGCATATATACGACATAATTGTTGATTCCAATCGATAACAAATTTTGCTTGTGATACAGAAATATTCGTATTAGGAGTTGCAGGAGGATTAGTTGTTGAACGATGATGATGAGAAGGATGACCATGTGTATGTTGATCATAGAGAGCTATCCATGATGAAATAAGACGATGAGTAGATTCATCAAATATACGAATAGCACTAGTATCAGTGCCAACACAAATTAATGTTCGATCATGTGCATTAATATAATCTAATGTATTAATTGTTGAACCTATTGAACCTACCTAAAAATAAAAGAGATTCGAAAGTTCTGTAAATCAAAAAAAAACAAAAAAAAGAAAGAACATTTAATTCAATAGATCAAACAATGCTAACACAAATGATTGATTGAAAAAGATGAGACTTATGAAAGATGTATCTCATTTGTTTAATTCTGATGTATATCAGATAAAACTGGTGGTAGACTATTTAACATAAGGTACAATTAAATGTAAATAATATTTAATTCTGAGTTTTTCTCTACTGCAATATAGTCTTAGTATGATGTTGTCTGAACCGTTTCAGAGAGAACTTCTAACAAAAATGTTTTGTTTTTACAATACTGAAGAAAACCATTTGCTAAAATTTGATTGGCTAGAAATGTTTATGTTTCAACCAATCAGATTTTAGCACTATTGTAAGAAGAAAACACTTTTTTGTGGGCTTGTCTAGGACTCTCTCTCTTAAATGATACAGACAACAACATGTAGAAACTGTAGAAGAGTAGAGAAAAAAGCGTCACCGAGTGTGATTCGCCAATCGAACTAATGTTTTACTCATGAGTAGATTCTGATAAGATTAGTCGAAGCCTATCAGAGCTGGTTCTCATGCTCTGTCCTTCTTAAGTTATTACAATTTTACTCAATTTTTTTACCTCTGGTAAAGTATCTGTGAAATAACCGAAATATACAATTTCAATCTAAAATTTTCCTTGTAAGTAACCCTTTTATACCTCAGAATACCCTGAAAATTACAATCTAAATGGATGTGTTCTTCTGGAGATATTGAATATACAAAAAACGATCGCATGTTCCAAAAAAAGATAAGAAAGATCAGTATTCTCAACATTTGATATCTGAAGATCAACACTATATTTTGGGCTGAAATTTTCACAAAATTTCAAAGTCCACGAAAGTTATCCGTAGGCGAAATTTCAGATTGAAATTCCGTACTTCTATTTGTTCACTAATACCTTCCTAAAGATAAAAGAAAAACCTAGCATTGTAATAACTTGGGATGAACTGTTGTTATAGGTTTGTACTAGTCTTGTTGGAGCCTACTCATGTGCAAAACATCAATTGGCTTGACGAGTATACACTTAGAAACTTTTCCTCATGTGACATAGAGTCTACACGAGTTAAGAATCTTGATATATCAGAATCAATTTGATGAGTTGCATACATTTAATAAAACTATTGACTTGCTTTGCTTTGTTTCCGAGCGATAGGAAAAGTTCTCATATAGAATAATACTTTTCTTTTTTCTAATTTTTCTCTTCTATTAGAATAACTCAACAACAACAACAACAACAACCTTCAGTGTTGAATTTGAACGTGGAGTTCCATCAAAATCATAAAAATTCAAATTTCCATGTGAATTTGCTACGGTTAAATAATTTTCATATGGATGAAGACGTAAAACAAGTGGAGCAGCATTTGATATACGATTATTAAATATAGTTTCACGCATATGTTGAAAATCAGCTAATGGACTAGGATTTGAACGTATACAATGATTACGCCAATAACGACCACTACGTGCAAAACAATCATCTTCATCTTCACTATATGAAGCACCATGTTGTTGTGATATACCAGATCCAAGATCACGTGTTATTGTATTTGATACTCGAAATCGACTACAACACCATTGAAAAAATTTTGTACTAACAGATTTTTGTAAATGTTGAAGAATTGTTTCAGCTAATTGTACCATTTCATGTGATGGATCGGATGAAGCAACATTTTGTATTGCTTCTGTAACTTTATCAAAAACAGTTTTACATAATGAACTACCAGTACGATTAACACTATTTGCAATATTTATTGCACCAATAGGTGTTGTTTGAGGAAGTAAATTCAAAAAATGATGTAAAGCAACAAGAACTTCTTGTCGAACAAGTGGTGAACCATCATGAAGACAACGTATAAGTACAGTAGCTGCTTCTTTTGATTTTTCAATACGAAGATCACTTAATTCATTAACAGATGTTGATGATGATAAATATGTACCTAAAGCATATGCACAAGCAGCACGAACTTCAGGTGAATCATGTGTAGTAAGTAAACTTTGTAATGTATCTGGTGCACGAAAAAGAACAGCTTTGTCACAAACATGTGCATTTAAATGCCAAGCTTGTCCAAGAAATAATGTTGACCATAGAAAAAGAGCTGATGTTTCATGATAATATGTTGTTGGCGTATTGAAAATATCAAGTACACGAGGCATGATTGGTAATAATTCATCCTATAGAACAACAAGAAAAATTCAAAGATCATATAGTAACGAGCAAATCTTTAATAATATTCTCTATTGCGATTAATGAATTTGAAAACTCTGAGATAATTGCTTGGATGACAGATGTCTAAAAAACCAAGACCTCTAAAGCCAATTTTATAGTATACATTTGAAACGTTTTGAGGGTGTGGATACAGTTGCTCACTCAACTCACACCCATACAAAAGCATGGGAGCTTTCAGATCAAAAAAGATTATATAGAAATAAGTTTTACAGAATACCATCTTCAAGTACGCAAATTACTGAATACAACAATGGATTCTTCCATTTCCTAAAACTTTCCTTCAGCAAGTCACAAGCATTCCAAAAAAACAAAGAAAGACACGTGTTTTTTTTTTCGTTTCTTGTAATGTTAATAAAATTTTTGAGGAAAGGTATTAATATGAAATGTATTTGATAGAAAGCTTCAGTAGTTATTCAAACAACTATTTCAATTCGAGTTAAATGATTAGTATCATAGAAAACGAGTCAAACAAATACGTTGATTGTTTTTTATTTGACAAGTATTATAAATAATGCTTAATATATACCTGTCCTTTCGTATAATTATCAACTAAACAAGTTAAATTGAAAGCAGCTAATGCACGAACACCATTTGATGATCGAATATCAGTTAATGTTGAAATAAAATATTCATGACCTTTTTCACGTATAATATCTATTTGACATGCCTATATAGAAAAAAAAGATTTTGCAAAACAACAGAATGAACATATTTAACATACTCGATCAACTGCTAATATTTTTGCCCAAATAAAAACAAGATACGGTCGTAAATCATCACTTGTTGCTTGTAATAAGCGAAGTACATAAGGAAATATACCAACTGATAATGCAAGATGAACAGCCCATGTACCAATATCAAGAAAACGTGCAAGTAAATCAAGTGCTCGTTGTCGATGAGATTGACTGAGTAATACCTTCAAATAAAAAAAAATCATTTTTTTTTATTGCAGAACAAAAAAAACCATACTTGTAAAACAATAGGTAATTGTTCAGGTTGTTTTAAATGTTCTTTTTCAAGTGTTGTTGTTAATAAAGAGTTTTCACCAAGCCAAACTGAAAATGCTGTTAATTGATCAGCAAAAAAAGAACTTGGCTCATAGACAGGTTCACGTATACCACTTTCTGTCTGTTTTAATACAGATGGTAATTGTTTAAGACATAAATCAAGTGCCATATCCCACGCATTCCTAACAAAAAAAGAAGTTTTAATGAAAATAAATATTTTATATTCGTTTGCATTGCTTGGTGAATTAAAATACAGTTCGAAGCTTTACTTTTTTTTCCAAATTATACATTGGCTTATCTAATCATTTTGAAAGTACAGAAGCTCAAAGATCGAATTGGCTCCGTAGAGACTCATGGTAGCAATGGCGCCAGGATTTTGCTTGAAGAGAAGGAAGCTTATCTCACCTTGATCGTCGCTACTAACTCGGACTAATGCCGTAGGAAAGTATGCAATCATTCTCTTGAAAAAGATAATGTACACTTGTTGAGTAGAGTCATTAAAATATTCAGCACTTTAGTCAAATATGAAAGCTTAAAATTATGTTAAACTGTCCAATAAAGACATTTTTATGGAGCATCTCGTCTGTACATGCAACACAATATTAGAATAGCGAAAATAATGAAGAACATGCAGCAAACACACATAAACACGTAGGAAGGTTTTTTGTCAGAAATATGATTCAAACATGCATATTTAGGTTTTTAGAGATGACTTTTTTTTCAAATATGTAACTATCTACTTACATGAACAGTGCAATGAAAATTGCAGTTTATAATGATCATCAGGAAATTTATTAAGTATACGTGCACATGAATATGCTAAGAACTATGAATAGTTTGAAAAAATAAACAAGATTTTAAAGTCAATATTGTGTGATTATGAGAGAGCTTTCGTTTTAACAAGAAATAAATCTATACATATTAAAGAAAGTTAAATATCATGTTATACTAGAAAATGCTAGAAATTTGTATGCTGACACAAAATCGTTTTAGTAATAATGTTCGTATGTGCAAATTTTCATTTTCATTGGCATGCAATATAAAACATAGTTCAAGTAATCTAGTAGGTACATGCAAGAATATTACATGCAAGTATTGGTAGGATTAAGTAGCATGCACAACTATACATGCTTTAGTAAAAAAGATGGTATTTGCGACATGCGAGTATATGAAGGTATTATTATCTTGCACTTCTGTACAAGTAAAGGTGATGTTCCGGAAACTTTCTGTAAATACACATGGTTAAACTTTCATTCTGGACTGCACTCTTTCACTGTACCCTATGTATTCATTTGCTTAAACTTTTGCTACCTAACGAGAAAACGTCTCCAAATGTGACTCGCCAATCGAACTGAGCGTGTGAGTGTGGGTGGG